GAACAGGGGCAGCCAGATTATTGTAAAAATATAAATATTGTACATAGACATAATAATCTATATGGAGAGGTACCTAAAACACAATGAGGTATAGTAGCCCCTGTATGCAGCTCTCTCCACCCGCACCCTGTGTGTGTCTGCAGAATGTGTGTGTGTGTGTGTGTGTGTGTGTGTGTGTGTCTCTGTCTGTGTGTGTCCATCTGTCTGTGTTAATGTGTGACAGGGACATTTTATCTAGTTTCAATGTGAATTCGACGCTGATTTCAAACAGATTTTAAACATTTAGACAAATAAGAACAATTTTATTGGGACTAGAAAACGCAGGAACCAGATGTGACCGGTCCAGGAAGTGAAACTGACCTGAAAACATTCAAAAAAAACAACAAAAAAAAACAACAACAACTGGACATTTGTTTTCAGTGTCTGTGTTTGTAGTTAAAGATCTTCGTGCCTCCAAAAACCGTCTTGAAGCAGCTTCTTGTAAATCTGGTTTGGTTTTTGAAAAGCTCGTGATCATCTGACTCGTTCTGAACCATCTGAAGGAAAAATATTTTTTAAACTTGTGGTTAAAACAAACCTGTAAAAAAAATAAATAAATAAAGAGGAATTCAAGTTGTAGACAAGACGATATATTTTAGTTTTTATTTTCAAGCTAAATTAGTGGATTGACGATGAACTGTTGGAGTTTTTCAATTTACAATAACATCTTATAGGCAGATTTATATTATATCTTTATTCCAGAATATTATTCATTAAGACAAAATAAAATGTCTTGATACAGTTTATTTAACATCTGCACTCAACAGGCGTTCATCCAGATGTGAAGAAAACTTTTTTATTTATTATCTAGTCTCCTGACAATATGAAAAACTTTGGTTTTATCCCTTTAAATTTAAATTTTCAAGTCACAGAATCTTGGATTATTTTATTATTATTATTATTTTTATTTCCTCTGTTTCCACCTGCTGAAGTTTTAATGTAACTTCACTGTCAACAAATCTTTTCTACACATTCACAAACTTTAATTCCTCATGTAGAATTTCTTTTTACAGGTTTATAAATATTAAACCACAGACTTTGAGGCTAAAACTTTATTGATTTGAGCCCGTAAAAAAAAAAAAAAAACACAATGAAAAGTGAAACATCTTATTAATTCAAAGCAAAAACAATAATTAATAATAATCTTCCTCCTTCATATCAGTCAGTTTCTGTGTGAAATTCAGTCCCTGAAACATCCAAAGCGTCTCATCAAGCAAAGTGCACTGTGTGTATATAGAAGAGAGAGACAGAATATTATTAGTATTTAAAGGGAGTTGAAGGGAGACGCAGTCATGTGACTCCCGGACGAGAATCAAAGGGGGGGGGGGGAGTGAAGCGTCGCTGCAGCTGCTTCACGTTCTGACGCAGCCAATCAGAGACGAGAGAAGCAGTCGCTCTCAGAGTCCAGATGTGGAGTTAACTGCAGAAACATCTGGAGAAAGTTTACAGAGAGAGAGAAAAAAAAAAAAGAAGCTCTGATTGTAGCAATAATACCCATAAGGCCGTTCTTCACTGTAGCGACTCTTCATCATCTTCATCATCATCAGCTCCAGATTTGTTTATTATCAGATTGTTTTTTAGTTTATAAACTACAGTTTTAATAACTAATGATTTATAGAGTCATTTAATATAAAGACCAGAGTTTCTTCTCTTTAACTAAAACACATGTTGATACTTTGGATCTGAACTACAACTAAACTTCATTATTCCTTTTATTTTCTTCAGTCACAAACACGTCGCTTTTCTTTTGGTTTTCTTTCAAATTTGTTCAAATAATGTTTAAAAAAAAAAAGTCGTGAATTTTAGCTTCTGAAACCTGAATGTGATCAGATAAATTAAAGAAAAAAGTAAAGAATATGGAAGGACTGTTATATTTTTTCTGACACTGAAACATCCCAGTCTTTTTCTCACCAAAACAAAACGAGTCTTCTTCATGTTTCCGTGGAGTCGTCAGTGAAGAACGTCCTCTGGGCCTTTGGTACAGCAGCTACCAGCCTGTGTGCACTAACTGAGAATCATATATGAGATTTAAGATAAATAAGAAACTATATTAAAGTTTTTAAAGAAATCAGTTTATCCCCAGACCAGCTGTAGAGATCAGCACCTGTTGTTGAGCTGTGAATTATGGGAATGAATACACCTGTCAGACTGTCACTGACTCTGCAGGTGATGGGGAAAAACTTTATTCATTCATGAGCAGTGCGTCGTTTGTTTACATCCTGTTGATAAAGTTTCACCTCATCCTTCTTCTTCTTCTTCTTCTTCTTCGTTTCACTTTTATCATCGTTTGTCTTTTTATCAGAAGGAAAAAAAAACAACTTTATGCATATCAGAGGTTACCTAGCGCTTGTTTGGCTATTTTAGCAGTTTGGGTTTGTTGGTAGCAGCGTAGCGGTCATGTTTCAGTCCCTGTGTGTGTGTGTGTGTGTGTGTGTGTGAGAGAGAGGGAGAGAGAGAGGTGGAGGACGTTCGATAAGAAGGAGGTCCCATCAGAAACCCAGAGGACTCGTCTGTGTGTTCAGGGCTGGATGGGAGAGAGACTGCATGGTGTGTGTGTGTGTGTGTGTGTGTGTTTGGGTGCGTGTGTGTTAGGTGTGTGTGTATGTGTGTGTGTATATTGTATGTAAATAGTGTTGATTTTGTACGGTACAAGTGTGTGTGACTTGTTTTGTACACATGATAAAAAGATTAAATGACACTTTTATAAGAGCCTGCTATTGGCTCACCGTCACACTATACAGTGCAATAAAGTGCTTTGATTGGCTAAAACTCAGACTAGTCCTCATTATTATTATTATTATTATTTATTTTATTATCATTATTACACGATTGGTTTGTGCTGCTGCTGCAGGAGTTTTTGTCGTCACAGCTGAACTGTCGAGTCAAAGGAAAAGATGAAATATATTAAATTTTTTTGATTGAAAATCGATCGATAGAAAGAAACACACAATATAAACTGATATCTGTAATATCAAATGAGAAATTAAAGGATAAAATAACCAGACAGGAGAATTTTTTTCAGGTTAAAAACCTGATAAATCGATGTTTCATTACAAACATGTAAAAATTATATAGAAAACAAACAAGATCTGCTGATTGATTTGCAAAGTTTCCCACAATGATCTAATAAAACCAGAGATATTAAATGTTATATTGATTAAATAAAATCTCAGGTGGTTATTAATCTCATCGGCTCAGTCCTAACCTGCACGTCATGTTTAAGTAAAAAGTTGGATCAGATATGTTGGTTTCCTCAAACCTGCAAGAACTCAAAGATAAAACCATCAAAACACATTAAAGTAAAGAAGAAAAAGTCACAATTAAATGAGTTTTGCACGAGAGAGAATCACTGTTGTCTTGGTGAAAGTTTCCGAAGTTTAAGAGAAACAAACAAAGTGACTTTTATTCCAGGTCGACTTTTCCAGGAGCCTCAAACACACCTCAGTTACTTTATTCCATCTTTATGTTCCTACTTTATTTTTCTTCTTCTCTGTCAGAATCTTCCTCATTTATAAAAACATGATCGACCTCAGCAGTTTCTGTCTCGGTGGATAAGAAGCTGTTACTGCGGCTGAGATCTGAAAACATGAACATTTTAATTTAAGTTGAAAAAGATGAAAAGATTGTCACTTCTGATTTTCTTAATCAGTTGTCAGTGATTTAAAAAAAAAGTCATCTTTTGTCTTCTGTACAAATCCAGAAATAACGAGTAAAAATGTACGTGAGGAAAGAAAAAACGGTTTAATTTAATGAGTCAGAATTTCTTTTTTTCATGTCAAATTGATTAAAATGACGATATTTAACAGTCAAAATATCGAATGTTCCTCTTTCTCCCAGTTTTCCCAGAGTCAGAGTTTGATTGGCTCCTCCTCTCAGCTGATACCTTCAACTGTAAACAGAGGAAGCTCGAGGAAAAGCAAAGTTTCTACGTGCAAACGATCCGCAGAGGAACGCAGCTCGTAAAAGAAACAGACTGAAACAAACACTGTAAAACTGTCTTTAAACACTCAACAATACAAACCTCCTCTCCTCCGTCTGATCTGTGGCTAAAAGCTTTCAGCTCCATCCTTTCATCTTCTCCAAACACCAGCCACTAAACTCTCTGTGGATGTTTGTGGTTTATTTCAGTCTGTAAATAGAAACACAATTAGACAAAAACAAAGTGACCTCCTGACCTTCTCTGCAGCGCCACGCCATCTTCTTTTTAACCCACGACCTGTAAAACCTCCTTTAGATGATCTATCTCCATATTTTTATTCAGACGTTCACGACCTTTAAATGACACCCTGAGGAGATCAGGGACTGAAGGAGTGTGGAGAATTATTACCTGTCTAACTAATTCCATAACTACGGAAGCCCTGAATGGCAAGTCTTGTTTTGTATTTTATTTTTATTTATAAATATTTTTCTTTGCCTGTTGGGCGTGTTTATACAGATGAATAAATAAATAAATAAATGAGGCATACGTCTAAATATATTAGTTTGACTGAAGTCAGTGGAGGTGAATCTGATGCTTTAAAGGTCAGAAGTGAGACAGTGTCTGTCAGTGGCTCTTTGTTTATTTACTGTTTATTCATTTGTATATTTGGATCGTAAAGATGTTTTCAGACTTATTTGTTTTCTGTTTGGATGATTATCTACATTTCTTTTTTTAATCTCTCTATCTTTATTTTACATTCAAATACAAAATAAAATAAAGAAAACACAAACTGAATTTAAAACGTTTGTTGTGTTTCCATTTTAAGTTTTTTCATCCCTGGTTATTAAAGTTAGTTTTAATAGGTTTTTATGTGCAGACGTTGTGGTTGCTGCCACTAGAGGTCGCTGTTGTCATTTCAGCTCCGCGCCGCAGCGGGATCCCAGGAAGCTCCTGGTGGCGGGAGCGCGCCTCGGTCCGGGGTGTCCACCTCCTGAGGGACACGTGTGACGGGCACGCGCATTGATTTGACAGGGAGCGAACCGGACCACCGCCTCAGTGTGACTCTGCCTGCTGAACTCAGCGCGCCTCCGGTCCTGGGTGTGACTCAGCGCGCGGTGAGCTCGCGCGGTTCCGTCTGTTTCAGGTGTGAGTTCAGGTTCTGTTCTTTCTCTGAGTCAAACCCGCGTTTTTAGACATTTAACCCTCAGTTTGAGAAGCGCAGTGAGGTCTGACTCACGGAGACGCCTCGAGGAGTGAAGCCGTGCGTAAAGCTGCTGACACGCGCGCCAAAGAAAAAAAAAAAAAAAAAAGGGACTTATTTTACGCACCAACATCACAAACTCCACAGACTCTGAACTCACGTGTTTCCTGCTGAGGATGAAAAGCCAGATGAGCCGCGAGCTGCTGCTCAGGTGGGTTTAACCCTCCGCTGGATGAGATGCCACCATGTCCTTTACGCACCGGCTCGTTGTGCTCCTGCTCGGCTTCTGCCTCCACCACACGGTCAGTGCTTCACTCATTAGAACCGCCAGGGTTCATTTAGTTTTACTGATGAATAATCTTCCAAATTAAGACGGTAAAATATGTTTTTAAAAGTGACTTTGAAACAGTTCCTGTTACATTCCTTCAGTATTACTCCGCGTGTTTATCTCCTGCGGCACTAAATGAGTTTGGCTTCAATATTCCAAACACAGTCACACAGTGAGTTTATAGGAACTATATCCTGCTGGATTTATGTTTCTGTCAGTCAGTATTCCTCCTGGGACATTTATATTTCTGCCTCTTTAAATTCTGTTTCTTCAGGAGTCTGAACTTCCACCTTTCACTGTTCCTCAGCGATGAGCTTCTCTTACATTCATCTGCTGCTTGTTCTTTATTGTCTCACTGTGTGATAATATTAATTATAGATTCACCTTCTCGCTCCTGCTGCTGGTTAAATTTTTAATATTCACACATCAGGCCGGGCTCTATATTTAGCCGCTGCAGCCTGGACCATCACTCAGTTTATATAAGTTATTATCATCCTGCGGAGAAGCAGCTAAAGTGGGTTTTTGGATGCAACAGCCAAGAGGAGTGAAGTGGATGATTTACTCCAGTCTGAGTCCAGGTGACGTCAGCGCTGCAAAAATGCTCTAAAGTGTCTCAGTGAAGATTTTCCTCAGAGGAGAAGTCCCTGATGCAGCCTGAGAGAAGTGACTCTTCACAGCTGTTCATGTCCGAGACAAGTAATGTGCTTTATCAGCCGTAAGTTTGGCGCCAAATCTTATTTATAATGAAAAGCTTGAGTTGGAAAAACTTACATTTTTATAGAAGATAGTTTCAGTTTCCTGCCGTTTCCACAGACATTTTCTCACAGTGATTTCGCAATGAAAAAATAAGTGTGTCAGCTGTTTGTGTGTGTGTGTGTGTGTGTGTGTGTGTGTGTGTGTGTGTGTGTGTGTGTGTGTGTGTGTTACAGTTGATGTCAAACCTCAGTGTGTGTGTATATGTACAGAACTTACACTAAAGGTCAATGACTTCTGCTTCCTCTATTGATCCGACTGGAGAGCAGAGTCCTGCTGTGTGTGTGTGTGTGTGTGTGTGTGTGTGTGTGTGTGTGTGTGTGCGTGTGTGTGTGTGTGTGTGTGTGTGTGTGCATGTGTGAGGTTTTACTTTAAATTCTTATAGACACAAACTCAAAAGATCAGAAAAGCATGAGAATATTGAAACAGATGTTTTCAGATACAGATGTATGTGACATGGAAACTTTGTTGCCATGACGATGCTTCAGTGAGTTTGTGTGATGATTAAAACGGACACAGAGTTGGAAGAAGCTGTTTTTTGCCACCAGAGGTAAAGTCCTTGGTTTGAATGTCACCTCTGGCCAGATGTGCTCTTCATGTGTGGCGTTTAAATGCTCTCTTCACGCTCTGGTCTGAAAGGATTCCTGATTAAACACTGATCTAAGTGACGTCAAGGTTCAACACAAGACACTAAATAAATCTGCCGTTTATTTTTCCTCGATCAATCAGATAAAAAAAGTCAGAACATTGTGTAAAATACATGCGAGAAACTCACAAAGCGACGTCTTTAAACGCCTCGTTTTGTCCAGAAACCCAAGAGTAATGAGCTCACTGTGATGCACAACAAACAAATGCATCAAATCCTCTGAGACCTGAGAATCTGGAAGCTTTTAAACATGATTACTGAAACTATTAATCAGTTATCAGTAGCTGCTAATTATCTCCTGGTGGCTGCAGCTCTGTCTGAGATGATTCCTGCACAGGATAACGTCCGGACTGAAGCTCTGAGGGTTAATGATTGTTTCAGCAGGTTTCCACAGAGTGTCTGCACGTTGACGTCTAATCACTGAGCTGCTGTAAAATGTGACCCAGACATTTAAACACACACTTCTTCTTTTTTCTTTCTTTTCTTTTTCTTTTTTTTTGTCTTTAACCCAGTTTTAACTCGGACGTCCTTTGACCTGCAAAACCACAAAATCAATGTTTACCGTGCGTGATGGAATCAGTTCATGCCTCAACGAGATCCTCAGTAATGATTGTGAAGCTGCAGATTTCTCCTCGTCACAGCTGCGTTTTCCTGTGAAACTGGCGTGAAGTTTGTTTTAAAACGCCAAAATTTGTGAGTAAAATAAATAATAAAGAGCGTGGAATCATGGGAAATAGGAGGGAGGAGGGATTTAAGGGGAATAAAGACAGTAAAATTAAAATCTGAATTTTAATGGGGAAAAAAAAAGCTGCTGTCTGACAATTTCAGATTTAAAATTTTAGTTTCTTCCAATTAAGATGAAAAATCTAAAGACGATTCAAACTATTTCCTTTATGACTTCTCAGAGCTTTTTTATTTTACTGACATTCAGGGTTGAATCAGGCCGTGTGGCGTCTGGCCGGCAACAACACAAAAGTTCCTCTCATTGGCTGAAGTTTTTCAACATTTTTAAAAAGTTTTCAAAGAGAATTTATTTTCAAAAACATTCAAAAATATGATTAATATTTAAATTTCTTATTATATATTTTTTTTTATAATTTAATCTTTTCACCAAACTTTTATTGTTTTGCCAACGATTTGTGGATCATGCCGCTGAAGACAGATTGTGTTTTTATTTACAACAGTTCCAGTAACTGAGACAAACTGTAGTTCTGTCGTCAGTGGCTTCTGGAGTCGGGGTCAGACCAGGTCCAGGATTACAAACTGCTCTTTCTTTTGTTTAGTTTATCTGAGAACATTTGATCCTCTGCCTGGTAATGGATCTGTGTGTTTCTGTGTGTATGTGTGTGTGTGTTGCGGCTCATTAGACGACGGAGATTACGCTGTTTGTTCGACGGTCGTGGATTAAATCGGGTCAAACGGTTTATCCTTTGCCCTTTTGCTGCTTTCTGTTTTTAGTTCTTTGTTTTGAGAAGCAGAAAATGGAAACAGGAAAGACGTGAGCCGAAATCAGAGGACGAAGTTTCTCAGTGAGGGCGGCAGCGCCCCCTGGAGGAACAGCTGGAGACGACGTCGCCGTTCGTCATCCCAACAGTTACCGAAGTTTAACGACCTGACAGAGGAAATTAAAAGTTATTCTTCGATGTCAAACGGAGACAAACTGTTTGCTGTGAGATGAGAATTCACATTTATCATCAGCTCAGCCAAATGTCAGCAGCCGACTTCATTAAAGTTGGAAGAAAACCAAACACGGAGAGTTTATATTTAAAGCTTCAACTCGAACGTCTTTTCTCTCAAACCGCAGCAGGAGGAAATGTTCATCAGATGTTCAGGAAACGGCTCCTGTAGCAAAAAGCAAAGAGTGATGGAGCCAAACAACAAGACTGGGACCAAATGTCTCATATTTGTTATAAATAAAACGTCAGAAAAATCAATTTCCTGCTTTAAAACTTCACTTTTTAAATGTTTTATAAAGAAAGAAGCAGATTAAATTGTTTAAATTATTTGTTGTCTGCTTCAGATGTCGGTGTTTTGCGCCTACACTTGAATGCACCACATTTCCACTCAGGGTTTGAAGTGATAAAAATCGATTCATACAATCTGTTAATCAATATATTTTGTTGCTAATTAAATCACGAGGTCAATGACAGACAGACAGACAGACAGACAGACAGACAGACAGACAGACAGACAGACAGACAGACAGGCAGACAGACAGTCTGAGCAGCGGGTGAACATGGTGGAGTGTTTAGCAGCTGAAGGAGCGGGTGGAGACCAAACACAGATATGATGACAATATTATTATTATAATTATTATTTTTACAGTGTAAAGATAAAACATTAGACACGAATTATATGATACGTAAGAAAAGAAAATAATCAAGAACAACAGCCGATCAGTAAAAAAGATATGTCAATAAAAATGATTAAAAAGTGGAATAAAATGTGATTCAATAAAATAATAATTACTCCAATAAAAATAATAAGACGTATAAAACAAACAAAAGTAATAAAAATTGAATTAAATTCAGACCAGCAAACCAGACTAAACACACTCGTCCTAACAGCTTCCTTCAATATTCAGTTATTACAGGTTTCAACTGTAAAAGATACTGAAGCTTTGATTCTATTTATTTTTTATTTCTTATTTTCAACGATTCCCATGAAACCAGGAAATAACCTGATAAAAACCTGATTCAGCTTCCACCTCTGAGTCGCCGCGCTCCGCTGTTTCCAGAAACTATTAAAAACACATCAGTGAGTCACACTGGTGAACATGAACACACACACACACACACACACACACACTGGTTTATTTTCACTCACTAGAGCACCAAATGTGGATTAATCCGCCTCTGAAAATAGTCCCCGACAAATGCTCCAAAAGTTCCAGTTTGAATAACAGAAGCTGTTTAGAAATGAAACTATTTATACGTGAGACGCTTTTTTAAGTCTTCAGGTGAAACTAATGAGCTCAGGTTTGAATGATTAGGAGACGGATGATGTTTGGTTTTGGTTTTGTCGTTGCATTTGGTGACAGTAAGAATAACATTTAGCCCGAGGTGTCGCTCAGGTGTCGAGTGTCCTCAGGTGTGAAGGTGATGTTTAGTCTTAAAGAAACTATTCTCTCGTGTCCCGGGTCGGTCGAAGACAGAGGTGAAGTGATGTTTGACTGTTTGGCTGAAAACGACGGATCAGTGTCGGGACGAGTCTCAGCAGGAAGTGTGTGTGTGTGTGTGTGTGTGTGTGTGTGTGTGTGTGTGTGTGTGTGAGAGAGAGAGTGTGAGAGGGGTATAAACACACTGACAGGTCTGAAACGCTGCTGAGAGCGGCAGTATATCTCAGTGTAAACAGACCTCCCAGCACACACACACTCTCAGTATATCAATGAAGTCAAGTTGACACATGGACCTGGTTCTGTTTGAGTGTGTGTTCCTCTTTGTGCAGGTTGTTTCACGCAGCCCCTTTGTGTACGCTCTGTTTGAGTGTGTGTCCATGGTTACCGTCAGCTGTACCAGGGCACACGCACGCACCAACGCCGGCCCGACGGTGGGAAACGTCATGGTTTTATCAGCGGTAGAGGAGGTGGTAGCCGTCGCTGCTAACGAGCCGAGGCTGATTAAAGAGCTGAAGCACAACTATAAATATCTGCTTCATCAGCGCCTCCTTTTTCTTCTTCATTTTTCTTTTTTTTTCAAGCGGGGTCGAGCCAGTTGAGGCCCAGTGTCGGCACACTCGGCTCAGATCTGGCCCGCATCCGGCTGCCGAATACAGATTCAGTGGATTTTTTTGTATTTCTTCACCTGGAGTCTGGAAACATGTGTTTTATAAGGTTTTATATTTAACGTAGAAAAAGCTGTGAACTTTGAACTGTCCTTTATTTTAGATGCAGCAGGAAACAAACTTTTTTTTTTCATGCACAAAAATAATAAACTAATATGAAAAAAAGTTCAATTCATCTGCTCCTTTTCAAAAAACTTTGGATTTTTATGGTAAAATTTGGTTAAAATACAGATAATTGAACGTGCGTATTCATATATATTTGTACACTAAGTGCATAAGTGTATATGTATAAGTACACGCATATGTCTCTTGTCTTTCCAGATGTGTAACTGCTGGAATTTACTCTATTGAAGGAGCTAATTTTGCAAGTTTTGCTATTGCTACATAGCTAACGTTAGCATTAGCAGCTGTTTGGTCGAGAAGAAACGTTGTGAGTTCAGCATCAAACTTCATTTCTTTCCTCACCAACAAATCAACCCTCTTGTTTTGCTTCTATTCCTCTCGCGTCTTTTCTTCTGCTGAAGCTAGCATGCTAACCGGCTAGCTCCGGCCCCGTCTCCTCACTTTCTGATAGCGACCCTGAAGACGAAGCGCAGCTCAGACGACGTACGATATCCCGACAAGAAAAAGCCTCTTTTCTTCTTCTACTTTGTTTCAGTTATTGTCTCTTTTATTATTACAGTTTGCTTTGTATTTTACTTTGTACATGTGATGAATTGGGGGACGTTTATAGAAATGGTTCAATCTCATTTGAATCTAAATGAATTTATTCCCTCAAATTAAAAATATGAAGTCTCTCTATCATTGCATTTGTTATTTTCCCTTTCACACTTTGATTTTGGACGTTTATCAGGCGACTTTTATAAAGTATAAGTGTTGCAGACGCACTAAACCAGCTTTTTCTCTCATGATAAAGACCGTGTTTGCACATACACTAGTCTAGTGATAAGTCAGGACATAGTATAGAAATGTATGTAAATACTATCAGGAAGTTCTGTGGCGCTGAAACCTGGAGCCTGTTGAACTTCTCAGGTGTTTCATTGTGTTTTCAGACGACTTATCTCCAACTCTCAGAAAAACTGAGGCACGTTAATCAAACAGCGGCGAGGGGCTGGAGACGCAGAGAAGCCAGACGCTGAACTTGTGTCTGACGCAGGAGGTTTGTTCACGTTGGAGATAATATTCATAATATTTATTTCCTCTGGTTCCGACAGGTTGATGGAAAGTTTCCCAACTGCCAGTTCCACTGGGAGATTCAGAGAGCGGAGAGAGAGTGTCGGACACAGCTGCAGCAGCAGCAGCAGCAGACGCCCCCCCCCACCACAGGTCCACACACACACACACACACACACACACACATGAAAAGACACACACATATAAATAATCCAGGATGAAGGGTCGAACAATGTTGGCATGTGCAGTGACAAAAACGCCAAAAATACTCAAAAACACAGACATGTGTGAGTGTGTGAGTGTGTGTGTGTCTGTGTGTGTGTCTGTGCGCGTGTGTGTGTGTGTGTGTGTGTGAGGTCAGTTATGTGACGATGAGGGTGTGTCTGAACGCCGTGTTGCAACACACTCTCTATCAATCATTTATTTACCTCTCAGGCCGAGTGCTCCAGAGTCGTGAGGAGAACAGGAAGTAGAGAGAGAGACACACACACGCACGCACACACACACACACACACACACACACACACACACACACACACACACACACACACAGTATAAATTACAGAGCTCAGGACTTCCTGTTTGGCTACTTGTTTCAGACTCACTGATCCAGCTGCTGAACGATATGAACAATAAATGAAAAATAAAACATCTGGATCGTCTGGAGTTTCTACACTGACTGAACACATCTGGAATTTAACACCTTAAACTTAATTGTTTTTCATATTAAGAATGATATTCAGATTATTTTAAGGGATAAAACAGTTAAAACATTTTCTTAAAACCCTCAAAATGAAGCTCTAAATGTTGTTTTTGCCGCTCAGTCTTATAATGTTGAATTCACTCTTTAGGCTTTAAATTTGAAGTTTATTGAAGTGATTTATTCCTAATTTTATCATTAAAGATTTAAGGGACTTCTTAAGGGAGTGTTGGATGATTGAAGAGCTTTTTAAGGAGTTTTTCCTTTGGGTATTGTATTTGTTTTACAGCTGCAACTGTTTTATCCATTATTGATTAATCTGCAAATTATTCTTTATCATAATGTCCGAGAACACTTCAAACAGTCCGAAGCCCAAAGATGTTCAGTTCATCGTCACAGCCGGAAAATAAATGAGCCAAACAGTGATTAAAACTAGTTATTGATCTACACTGATTGATTTTGTGTTGATCGACTCATCGTCTTCGATCTAATTTGATTAATGTTAAAGTTGTTTTTTGTTTTTTCCAGCTCCAGTTTTGTTCCGTCACGTCGGTTGAAACTCGGTTTGTCTCTTTAAATCTTTAAATCAAAATGTGTCTGAAGTTAAATTCTGCGTTTCTTTCTTTTAATAAAAGAGTGTGTGTGATGGTGGCTTGTCCTCTGAGATACAGGTTAACACCAAGATAAACACACACACACACACACACACACACACACACACACACACACACACACACACACTGGTGTCCATAGACAGGCGTGAGAAAGAACAAGCTGCACAGATAAAAAAACGCTTTTTAATTATCACTGTGCTGAAACATTTAAACACACACGACCTTTTAGAAAAAACACAACAGCTGTGTGTGTGTGTGTGTGTGTGTGTGTGTGTGTGTGTGTGTGTGTGTGTCCCAGTATAAACACCAGCCTTGTGGGGACCAAAGCCTGGTCCTAATGAGGCTCAGCGTCACGTCTGAGGGTTTGTGTTCGGCTGTTCACAGTGAATGGAAGTCAATGCAATGTCCCAACAAGGATAGCTGTGTGTGTGTGTGTGTGTGTGTGTGTGTGTGTGTGTGTGTGTGTGTGTTCAGGATGTCGTGGTGAGTGGGGCTTCGCGTCCTGTTGGCACAATGCGGCGGTCGGCGAGGTGATGACCCTCCCCTGCCCCTCCCCCCTTCTGCAACTTTTTGGAAAAAATGGTGAGCTTCAACACACACACACACACACACACACACACAGGTCACATACAGCTGACAGAGGAGATCAGGGAACGATTTTCAAATCAAATTGATTAAATTTAATGTAAAAACTTTTAGAACAAAATAATTAGAAACAAAAACTAACAAATCAGTGAAACGCAGACGGTTGGTTTGTGTTGACAGTGTCCAGTTACTGTACGTGTTTGTGTTTCAGTTCACACCGAGGGGTCGTGATAATAATCATAATGATCATTTCCTGCGCCACCTTCGTCCCGGACCGACTCGTCTGAGTCTGCGTCGAGCGCCGTGTCCGAACCCGTCGACCTCGTGCAGCCGCTTCCTCCTTCCTGCCGCTTCCTTTCACGGTTAATCTGGCAGACTCTCGTCTTTCAGCCGACTCGTCGCGCCTCATCCATCACGCCGATCACCTCTCGTCCCCTCTGCCTTTGATCCTCTCTCGTCCTCCTGTCATCCGTGCACGCCGCCGCCCTCCTTCCCTTTCCTCTCCCATCAGCCCCTGCTCTGACCCTGCCTCCATAACCTTCCTCACCCTCCGCGTCTCTCTCTCCATGTGCATCATTCACTCTCGCTCATATTTCCTGTTTACTTTTAAATAAACAGTTTTAATAAAACGTTTTAAATTCAGAAAAGATTCATTGAAATTGAGAAATAACGGAGATGAATTTGATCCCATTCGGCAGAAACACGTCGACATTATAAAAAGAGCAGAAACCTGTTCTCCTCTCGGTCTGCGTCCTCCTGAACCTCCCTTCACCTTCCCTCCGCCTCTGTGTTTGATCTCTCCTCCGTCACCTCCGTCTCCGTCGGCCTCTGTCTGTTAATGAGTCTAATTATTCACAGGGCAGCTGACAACATCTGGGCCGGCCGACCTTCTCGCCTATTCCCCCCACCCCCCACCCCCCACCCCTACCCAGCATCTGTCAGCAGCTGGTTTATCCACCCGCTGCGCCCGCAGAGATGGAGAGCGTTCGGTCGGCCGGTTAACGGATGAGGCGTGTAATCGGCACAACATCAGAAGTCTCTGACTGAGACTGTGATTATTAAATATCCTCTCTCTCCCGTCCGTCAACACTCAGTCAGCTGTTCCCACTCTAAAAAACAAAACAGACAAACAAACACATGCTTTTTCTCTGGCGTAAAGATCAATCACAAGCTGCGTTATCCGCATTTAAAGTAAAGATTTAAACTTTTCCAACGAACGAAGCTCAGATCTGAATCTGAGACTCATTATAGTGAAAAAGTTCTGTTGGCTTGTTGGAGAACGCTGGAAAAACAAAAGCTTTGAGGAGTAAATAAACAAATACAACATCGTCTGTCATAAAGGAGCCGATCCTGAGCTTATAAAGGGACTTTCACAAGACGGAGCTTCACTTTTTATTCAGTCTCAAGCTCCTTCTCTGGTGTGATATAAAGACTTTACCTGATGGTTTAGACTTAAAAAGAGCAAGTTGACTTTAGTTGCCATTTTTAAGTTGGAACAACTTCACAAAATGAAGTTAACACAACTATGTTATTTATGTTTTTTCCTGTTTATCTTCTACTTATTCAGTCAACTGTTAAAATTTACTTTCTATAAATATCATTTCCTGACACACTTCTTCACACGGAGTAAACCTCTGGGGGACAATTACTGCGTCCTTTTATATATTTAATGTGTTGGTCAACTAAATTAATTAAAAACACTGTAATTAGGCAATAAAATACAGATAATGTGGATTTCTTAATTGTAGAATTGGTTGTTAAAAGGTGAAACAGGAAGGTCACGACCTCGTGTTTCTTCAGTGGCAGGTGCAGCTCCGGCGTTTCAGATCTGTCGTTAATGAACCAGAAACAAAAAGTGTTTCGCTCCTTTTTAATTTGGTTAATTAACTGGATCAATATCATAATCGGATTTAGTTTAATGTAGATGTAGCAGCCAGTGATTAGCAGGACCAACATTACCTTTTAGCTCCACTGTCTGCTTTTATTATTTTCATTATGAACTGATCTGTTTCCTCTCAATTAGTTAATTGATTGGTTTATAAAATCTCAGATAAACGAGAAACTGCAGAAACTTCCGGCTTCAGTCTGGACAAATTAACTTCAGCGATGAATGAATCAAGAGAATAGATTACAAACCTCCTGTCCGTGTGTCTCAGGGAACCTGAGCAGGAACTGCACGGAGAGCGGCTGGTCGGACGTCTACCCCGTCATCACCGTCGCCTGCTGGTCCAACGACACAGGTGAACCCAACGAGGTGAGTTCACCTGCAGAGAAACCACTCCCTCCACTCGCAGCGGTGTGTGTGTGTGTGTGTGTGTGTGTGTGTGTGTGTGTGTGTACGTGATGAAAATCTCTTCATCTGATCTGTAGTCTGAGCTCTTCATGTTCAGCGTCACATCCTCTGTGCAGCTGTTTTTCAGAATGAAGCTCGATCGATTCGAACACAGAAAAAGTTTCACCACATGTGGTGAAATGCACCAGTTTAAATTACTGCAGAGTGAATCACCAGTAAGATTTTATTCCAGTGGTTTTATCTTCATTTATAAACTTTATTTCACTGACATGTAATAAACAAGCTTTATAGATGTTCAGCTGCTGGATACAACTTGAACTAAATCCATGAAAAGAAGATTAAACTCCCAAGTTATTTTATTTATTTATTTAAAATGTTCTGATTTAACAGATTGTTTTTTCCATAAAATCCAAACTACTTCATCGTGTCTGTGAACGTTTCCATGGAAACACATTTAACAGCAGGAAATCATTAGAAAACAATGAGACCTGTGAAATAAAGTGTTACAAAGAAAAAGAAAAGAAGCAAGATGAAATAGTTTCCGCAGTTCTCTGTAAGTTCACTCATCGGTGCGGTTCACTTTATCTCTGGTTGTTTTAAACATTTATCTGCTTCAGAAGTGCTGAGCTCAGGGTTTTAAAACCACGTTTCCTTCGTGTCGCGCATCTGCGGCGGCGTCGCGATAAAGGCTCGCATCTCTGTCGCATCTGTTTGTTCTGCAGCCGGTAGCATACAACCACAGACAGGCGATCTTCTGGCTGATCAGACGGCGGATGAGTTTCAGTCTGTGTTTGTGAAACCTGTTCGCTCCTTTTGTCCTGCGCTTCATTCTGAGTCAAAACCTTTTTCCCCCGAACATCAGACTTCCAATGAAATGAAACTAAAGCAGATCTGCGCCCGCCAACCGATGCTTCACAAAGACATGAAACATTAGTTCCTGTGACGGTTCCTCCTGTCCACACTGACACAAACACGATCTTGAGACGTGTGTTTTATAGTGTGAAATTCTCACTTTGTGTTTCCGTCCTTCTGCTGAAGCTCAGCGTGAAAAACACAGAACAACAGGATCAACCCGGAAATAAGAAATGTGACTGAATCTGTGAGAAATCAGTCAGAGACGTTCACCGGGTCAGAACCGCCTCGAGCTGACCTGACAGATTTCACATCAGCTCAGCAGGTCCGGCGTCTCTGTCTGTGTTTGTCTGTTCGTAGGCGACAGATGAACCGGGACGAAGGTCGGGGGTCAGGCCACCATGAAACCTGTTCGCTCATCAGCTCCTCACTGTGTGTGTGTGTGTGTGTGTGTGTGTGTGTGTGTGTGTGTGTGTGTGTGTGTGTGTGTGTGTGTGTGTAACAAACGGCCAGATGAGTGAGGAGACTCTTGCAGTGGCACATCACCTCGGTTCTAGCCTCGTCTTTTACAATAGGTTTTAAGGTCCTTGAACTTGTTTTTAAAGCTCTCTGCGGTCTGGAACCGGCCCGTGCTGCAGGTTCTGTGTCGGTTTATAATCCTCGACGAGCTCTCGGATTTTCCGCTGCCAGGATTTTAAACACACAGAGGAAAACAGGCAGCGCAGCTTTTTTAAAACTGTGATCCAAAACTTTGGGAAAACCTGCCAAGAGCCAGAAGAACAGCTGAAAACCTGTTTATTTAACTTTGCTTTTAAATTTATTCTCTCATATTTGACTTCCTGTACTGGTTTCTGTTTTTATTTATTTATTTAATCATCTTCTGTCTTTCTAGTGTCTGTTTTCATTTTCCTTCTATCTGCGTTTATTTTATTCTACTGTTTGATCTTTATGTCTCTGCGTCCGTCTCATACTCGTGGACGCGATATCTCAGTGACGCCGCGATGAAACTTCTTCACATTTGGCACAAACATTCACCTGGACTCGAGGGGGAAGTCATTCGATTTTGATGGTCAAATGTCAAAGGTCAAGGTCACGGTGACCTCTCAAGACACGTTTATTTCCTTTGCGAACGCCATATCTCTGTAACGCCTTGAAGGAACTTCTTCATTTGTCCTTGGACGTTTTTTCTTCCATTTTATTAATATGAAACTACTGCAGAACTATTCATGTAAAGTGCATTAAGGGATTTCAGCTGGAGAAGTATCTGCTGTGGCGAGACACCGGCTTAAACCTCCCGCAGTCTTGTGGGGTTCAGTTCTCGGCCTCGGCCTCCGTCTGTTCCCAGATCAGCTTCTTCAGAGGATGAAGGTGAACCGGAGGAAATGTTTTCTTCTTCCCCTGTAAACTCTGTCGAGGCTCGTGAAGCAGAAGGACACAGCTGAGCGAGCCGTGCAGGTGGCTGTGTGGGGCGACTCCCCCCCCCCCCCCCCGGGGCGTCCTGTGTGATGCCGCGGAGCTTATTTTTTGACCTTCCCAGTTATTGCTTGTGGCCGCGGCTGCATTCCACGACCCTTCGGTTTCTGAGCTCTAAATAAGCGAGTAACATCCAGGTTTAAGAGAATATCCGGAGTTATTATTGTGTCACGCCACACACTCCTCCTGTTCTTCAAATCAGAAGGAAGTGAGAGTGTCTCATAAAAAGCCCTTTTATCATATTTGTATGACTGATAAATAACAAAGAAAGAAATCCAGTCAGGATTGTGGAACAAGACAAGACAATTGTGCATTTGTTTGGGACTATTTTCAGCGGCGGATTAACGGCACAGAGGAACAAGGAGGTATCAGGCTTTGACACAGATTTATTTGAAGGATCAAGTTTATTGAAAAAACATGAAATATCACCACAATTAACCTTTTTGTCAAATGCAGCGTAGAAACACAACAAACTTACGTGTGTGGCTGAACCTCTTCACCACTTTTATTCCTGCTGGACTCTAAAGAAGAAGATGTCTGAATGATGAACTGCTTCACACGCTGGAATAAAAACTTCTCAGCGTCACAAACTACGACATTAAACCAATGTCTCCTGCAGACAAATGAAATCACTTCTCCTCCTCGGTGACGTCAGCGGGTTCAACCATCAGTTTCTTTACGCTCAGCTTCCCTCTGTTTATTGTTCCTCTTGAGGAGCCATCTTTCTTTTTGACATCTCTGTCACCTCCGTGTATTTCTCTGTTTACAGGATCTTTTTCTCGTCGCTGCTCTGTTTTTTCTTTCCTCTCCACCTCACGCCCGCTGCAGTTTACAAAGGATGAGTATATAATGTTTTCCTCAACGCGCCACAGCAGCTGTTTTCCATGTAATGGCGAAATAATAGATGAATCAATCACGTGACGTCGTGTATCAATAATAATCATGTCTGAAAGGTGAAGTTTCAGCGCTCATATCAAAAAAATAAAATAAAAATAAGGGAAATAAAATCCTATAAACTATAAAACTGATCCCACTGAAGTAATTTACACATGTTTTATGGGTAATCAGTAGATCACTGTGTAATACAGTCAATTTATTTATAGAATACCAAGTATGAAGATCAATAAATAAATGAATAAAGCGTAAGAATAAATGATTTAGGGTAAAATCATCAAAACACAACAGAAAGGGTTTTTATCGTGACGATTAAATTGATTATTTCAAATTATATTTTCAAAATGTCACTGAGTGAAATTAGCAAACAACCAAAATATTAAATGTTTTATTATTTAAAATCTCCACCTGATCATCCCCAAGACGTGATGTCCACGTTGTGTTGCACAATTTTAGCGATTCAAAGAAAATGAAAACAAAACTTTGAACCAAATTTTCAGGAAATCATCAAAATAAGAGAAAAGATTAAAGCGCGTTTCCACATATGAATATTAGCAGTTTTGGTGCGTTGAGATAAACAGCTGGTGGAGCTGCTTTTACTGACGGCTGCCGTTAAAACGTTGCAGAAGAAGAAGAAGAAGAAGAAGAAGAAGAAGAAGAAGAAGAAGAAGAAGAAGAAGAAGAAGAGTTCTTTCAGATACAGACAGATGCTGGATGTTGATGCTGAGGCGCTTTAATGTTGAAAACATTGCAGCAGTTCTCGTGTTCCTAAGAAAGAGAACAGAATGAAATCTCACAGTCGGACGTGTTTGTGTTTTTTAAATTCACCAGAGTAAAATTTTTTGGGGGAAGAAAAAAATATAAATTTTGAATGAGAAGCTGCTTCTTTTTGGAAGACGGGAACATTCGACTCCTGTGAATATAAACCATGCAGTTAATATTGTGTTGAGTGGAAGGAGTCGAGGGATCTGCTTCGTTTATTTAGTCGACTAATTGTGAACGTTGTTGCTTCCAAAGTCTGAAGCGGAGACACAAACAGACGAAACCAGTTAAACAGAGAAACTGCAGCAGCTGAGGCGAGCGAGCGAGAACAGAGAGCAACACTCATAAGTAACGTGCTGTGCACACACCTGAGCGGCGTGACAGAAAACAGCACTGTGTAAAGATGAATTTTAAGAACACACACACACACACACACACACACACACACACACACACACACACACACACACACAGCTGGCCGGTGATGCTCTCCAGAGCCTCAGGTGTGGGACTCTCTCTGAAGCTTCTATTTGTTTCCTGCTGAAGAGACAGAGGTTTTCCGTCTGGAAAACATTCGGCTGAGAGCAGACGTCATCGCTGACACACACACACACACACACACACACACACACACACACACACACACACGAACGTCACACACACACACACACACAGACTTCAGGAACGTCACACAACCGTTTTGTTCATTAAAATACGGAGAAAAACTCGGCCCAACGTCGGCCCAAATCTGGCAGAACTGGCGTCACATAGAACTTCAACTAACGATTATGTTAATTATTGATTAATCTGCAGAACCGTGGAACAAACCAAACTGAGGCGCTCCGTCTGCAGGTGAAACAGTAATATTGATTTATTCCAACATGTATCGGCTCTGGGTTTTCATCAGGGTCTAATAACCAATAATCAGTTTGAATCACAAAACAGCCGCAGGTGATATTCAGCTGAACACCTGAGGCCCAGCACACGACCCCTAGAGGGCGCTAAGTCACAAGCTCTGACCAGAAACAATTTACAATGTGACATAAAAGAGAGAAATATTTTACATTAAATGAAAGTAAAGCAAATCCTGAAAATGCCCAATAAATATTAGAAAACAATGTTTTATTCTTCATGTTAAAAGACTGTAAAACATTATTTTGCAGCCTGTTGAACTCCAGGTTTTACTGACACGTTTCCTTTTAGCAGAGGCTTAAACCGGGAAAAGCAGCTCCACATCTAAAGTACAGATGATGTACAGTTGAGCCCTGATTATAATATCAAACAAATATGGTCATAGTCTGCAGATTCATATTTCCAGAGTCTCCGTCGTGACTCGATCTTGATTTAAAACCCCCGGTGAGCGCTCGGGAGCAGAAGATAGAGCCGCTCCGCCAGATTTAGACTTTTCTCTCGGGGGCCAGGAAGCCGCTCGGCAATGAAGTTCAACATCGCTCTAATTCCCCCGGTGTCAGGGAGGAAGACGGAGAGGGCGAGCGAGCCAGCGTTTATGGATGGAGATGTGTTTGGATATAGAAGGCGGTGTGGCTGCAGCAGACCAGAGCCAGCAGGTCATCAGCTCCCAGCCAGAAGGCCTGAGAATCAAACTCAGGAATGAGACGCTGATGCCAGGCTGCGACTGTCTGTGCAAGCTCAGATATTTGTCCATATGTGTACAGTGGACAGGCGGCGGCGGCGGGGGGGGGGGCAACACAAACCCTTCACATAATCATGACTAAGTGGAAAAATACTCCACTTTCTGCAGAGTGTTGGTTATTTAACATGAAAGATTTCTACGTTCACTACGTTTATTTCACACAAATCAAAATCGTTTATCAATACCTGATTTAAAATGTGAACTGTCAATCAAACCCGCTCAGCTCGACTCAAGATGTTTGTTTCCCTCCAAACTTGACGAAGTCTTCATGTTAGAGAGAGAAAGATTTTAAAACATGTTTTCAGGAGGTTTATGTAAAAATAAATGCTTAAACACAGCAGAAGGTAATCATCGTCAGCTCCTGTGCAGACGTCAGTGATGGGGTGTCCCATACGGGCATAACGTCCCGGGCCAGGAAACATCTCTCTCCACTTCCCCCAAATAAATAAAGGAAGAAAAAAACACCCAAAAAATAAGTTCAAAACATGTAAAAATGAAAACAAAAGGAGAAGAAAACTTTGTCAGAAGGAAAGAATAGAATATAGGACAGATAGAAGGAAGGGGAAAGATAAACGTCAGATTAAATAATAAACAAAATAAGGATGAAAAGTTGGAAGAAGAGAAGGATGGAGGGAAAGAGTGAAAGGAGGGAAAAGTGAAAAGGAAACAAAATTTAAAAAAAAAAAGTAGGACCAGAAGAAGAAAAGAAAGAGAAGGAAATATGGACTTGAAAGGAGAGAAGAAATCAGGAAAAGTGAGACAGAAAACAAACAGAAATATGTCAGGCAGAGCGGAGAGGACAAGAAATAGAAAGTCTCCAAAAATGGAAATCTGTAAATAAAACAGAGTCAGTGAATGCATCATGTCCTCATAAGTACTGAATTATAAATATGTGCATTTAAGAGCCTGTTTGCATTTTCACATCTATGAATATGTGATGTTTATAATACATATATATACTAATTAATATTAATATTAATTGATATATGTGCGGTACACGGCTTACAGTTAGTGTGTGTGTTAATGTATGGGATCATGCATGTCTTAATGTACAGTGTGTGTGTGTGTGTGTGTGTGTGTGTGTGTGTGTGTGTGTCTGGTTAATTGCCAGATGGTGTGTCAGACAAGGGGAATGTTGTTTATAGATGATGAGAGAGCGATGAACGCCAGGCACCACACACACACACACACACACACACACACAGTGGGCAGTATAACACCGTGTGTGTGTGTGTGTGTGTGTGTGTGAAAGAGTTAGCGCGGTCTTGAGACGGACCAGACCCTCATCCTGATCCTGACCCCGCTCTTATTGTGAAAGAGCCTCTCCACTGTAGGAAAAAGCGGCGGGAACTGAGAGAGGCTGCTGCTAACGTCTTCAGCAGCAGCCTGAGGATGATGTGGAAAATGGATGGAGGAAGATTATGTTTTTAAAAAAATGTAAATACACTTAAAGTCAGTCACAGATCATTAATAAATCAAATTGACCTTTGACTTTTATGAATCACGTCTCACAAATAAAATCATCAAATTAAATATTTAAAGCGAAGCGCGAAACTTTAAAACGGATTATAATTGGACTGAATCATTTATCATCTGGTGTTTGTTGTTTCTCACCAGCTCTCCTGATGACCACACAAGGCTCCTCCGCTTCACTGTTACCAGGCTTCAGCTTTTGTTTGTTTCTCAGAGGAGTAAACAATAATTATTCACTTCATCTCTGTATGAGACGTGTAATGATGAAGAAGCGGAGAGCAGCGCCCTCTAGTGGCCTTTACTGAAAACACAACCGACTCCTCCCTGGGAATAAGATCAAAATCGATCTAAGCAGAATTATTATTATTTCTTTTGCATTTATAAACATATTCTGATAATTCACCGTTCATGCCTCCGTTTATCATCGTCAACATCAGCAGTTTTTATTCACCAGTGATTGAATCAAACACTGGATTTTACCGCCTCTCTCGTAACTGTTGCAGCTTCTACAATTAATGTAAAGTAAATGTGTTTTCTGTGTCCAGCTGGTCTTCTACAGAGTGGTGAGGATCCTGTCCACTCTGGGCCACAGCCTGTCGCTCATCGCTCTGCTCACCAGCACCGTCATCATCTGTTTGTTCAGGTAAACACACACACACACACACACACACACACACACAGCAACGTCTCTTCATTTAAAGACACACTTTTCTTTCACATAACGAATGAAAAGTTCAGATCACACAGTTAAAAACAGCCTCCTGTGAGAATCATGTCGCTCCTGATGGTGAAAAGAAAGTGTCACAGAAGATCAACATCTGCTTTATACATCAAGAAATCAAAAATAACTCAACTAATTATCATTTACTTTCCTGTAAATCATCTCCCACAGGAAAGATAATTCATAAATATAATTAAACACATTATTTCTGAAGATGGTCGTTAATTTGCAACAAAAGCTTCAACCTCAAGAGTTTAAAAAACGACTCTGAAAACTCAGGACAAGTTGAACATATTAGCTCGGGATATATAATGTAAACCTGTGTTTACACTCCTAAGTGCAGACACACACTTAATGCACATGCCTCCTCACACACGGAGCGTTCTGGGGTGGGGGGGGTGGGGGGTGGGGGGGTGATAACAGTTTGCTGCAGAAACGTGTGAGACAGATGAAACGTCTGCAGCTCGGCCTGGATCGGCTCCAGCTGTTCACTCGGCTGCTATCAGCGTGTTTAGAAACCTCATCCCTCACTGGCTTCACACCCTGACAGCGTCTGTAAACACACTTCTCAACGTTCTTCTGTCTGTCTGTGTGTGTGTGTGTGCGTGTGTGTGTGTGTGTGTGTGTGTGTGTGCGTGTGTGTGTGTGTGCAGGAGGCTCCACTGCATGAGGAACTACATCCATCTGAACTTGTTCCTGTCGTTCATGCTGCGAGCCGTGGCCGTGCTGACCAAAGACACGCTGCTCTTCTCAGATGACGAGGACACAGACTGCAGCACGCAGCCCTCACTGGTGACCACACACACACACACACACACACACACACACACACACACACACAGATAGATGTCTACCTCTGTCATGATGGAAATAAATGGTAACATTATGCTCCTGTTCCTTGCAGCTATTTTCATGTGTTTCATTCTTATAAAAATCATGTTTATTTCGAAAGCTGCTTCTTATTTCCCCATGTTTCTGAAGCTCTCGGTTGTATCTGCTGTGAACTGTGCTGTTAATCACAATGATAAACATAATCTATCACCACATATATATCATGTGTATTTTCATGTCATTTTGCAGGGTGACAAACACACTGTAGTGGTGGCGTCTTGCAGGCAGTGCAGTGGGTGCTAACTGGGTGACTGTGTTCAGTAAAAATAAAGTAAAGATATATGTTCTCTACTACATGCACAGTAATCTGCAGGTTTTTCAAATCTAGTTTCATGTTTTTTTACAGTGAGACTGGATTTAATCGTCAATAATCCAGGTTTATTATCAGTAAAACCTGGATTCATTTAATGCCGTTTTGTGAAGCAGGCTCGTTGTAATCTACGTTAAATTGCGAGTAACCACGCTTTACCAACAAGATTAACCTGACGTCACCCACAGGTTTCTGAAGCTCGGAGTGAGCTGCTCAACCGCCGCCATCTTGGCAGTGCCTGACTCCGCCTCTAACTCCCAGCTAATCCAAAAATGGGCCGAGATGAGGGGAGGAACTTTAATCCTTAAAATTTAATCCTAATAAGATTAAAATGGGTGAATTATATAAAAAATTAAAAAAATTCAAATTAGCTCTAGAGACCAAAACAGTTTCTGTACCAGGCTGTAAACATGTTTATTTCTGCTGTAAAGTTGGACATTTTAACATGGGAGTCTATGGGGACTGACTCACTGTTGGAGCCAGACTCTAGTGGTCGTTAGAGGAACTGCAGCTTCTGGTTCTTCACTGTTGATGCTTCAGTTTTCATCCTCGGAGGTTGACGCTTTAAACCTGAACTCTTCATTGTCAGAACATAATCCATTACACGTCTTTACATCCAGTTGTATTGTATGAACTGTTGGAACATACATGTGATAAACTGTGATGTTGTTGTTGTTGTTGTTGTTGTTGTTGTTGTTGTTGTTGTTGTTGTAGGTGGGCTGTAGAGCCAGCCTGGTGTTCTTCAACTACTTCATCATGGCAAACTTCTTCTGGCTGCTGGTGGAGGGTCTCTACCTGCACATGCTGCTGCTCGTCATCCACACCTACTCCACCCCCCTCTCCATCTACATGTTCATCGGCTGGGGTCGGCTGCACCACAGTTTCCATTTTGCTGTTGTTGTTGTTGTTGTTGTTGTTGTTGTGGTCTTGTTTTCCTAGTGTTGGCTGTTCTTTCGCCAAGTCAAAACTCTGCTGTGCTTTATTTTCTATTCTAATTGAGATCCCAGGAGAAATTAAAAGGGAAGAGATGTTAAGGGGCTTAATGAGGAGGTGAAGGACCATCAGTATTATTTGTTTCCAGCAGAGGCTGGAATCAGGAATATTAAATATGTTTGAAATCGTGGAAGAAAACCTTCATATATCATATAAATGTCCTGTTGACGTCGGGTTTGATGCACAATTCTGTGGTTTTCTGCCCAAAATAAAGAAGAAGGAAGATTTATTGCTCACACACTCACACTAGATTTTCACCAGGAGTTTTTCCACAAGCGTTATACATTATTAATTAACATATAACATGTTAATTAAATAGCTTGTATTTCTTTGCATTGCATTGTTTCTGCGCACGGTTTCAGGCCCTCTGACCGTGTGTCATGGCGGTCGGGTTTGTAAACTCTCTCCCGGCCTCTGCGTTCGCTCAGCTGCTGCCATGTGACGCCTCCTTCCACCACCATCCATCACCACTTTACCCACACTTCCTCCTCCACTGCATCACCATTCAGCCCCAGCTGTTTAATGTACACGAGTGTGTGTGTGTGTGTGTGTGTGTGTGTGTGTGTGTGTGTGTGTGTGTGTGTGTGTGTGTGTGTGTGTCATATTTCCTTTGTGAGGATGTTCTTTGTCTGACGGACTGAGAATCTAAACACACTTTCTCTCGTCCTCACCCCTTCCTCTCTCTCTCTCTCTCTCTCTCTCTCTCTCTCTCTCTCTCTCTCTCTCTCAGGAATCCCTTTTGTCTTCCTGGTGGCGTGGATCATATGTAGGATTAAACTGGAGGACACATGGTGAGTCTGCCCCTCTCATCTGGGGGCATTTAAATAAATGAGAAGACTGACAACCTCTAGTGGCGGCCATCGCTCCCTGCAGCTGGAATTACAAAACAAATGTGACATGAAATTTACTTTAAATGCATTAAATGAGGAAAATGAATAAAATTCCGCACGACATACAAGAAGAAACTAAACAGCAAACTGTTTTGATACTTAGAAATAATTTTAAAGAAATTTTTTCTCCAAATTTGTTTGTTGAATTTTCTAAAACACAAAAATTTTGCATTGCAAGTTGCAGTAATTTAATATTTGCATGTTTTTCTGAGGATTAAGTCAAAAATTTTCTCAGATTTTTTCTGTCATTTCCCTCCGTACAGGGAAGTTAATAACAAAAGGAATCAAGTTCATTGTTATGCTGTTAAAATAATAAAAAAACATTAATTTCATGAGTTTCTTCCTGCAAGTCTCTGTTAGCAGCCGGTTACTTTTCGTAGCTGTGGTTTTTAGAAAATGCTGAGAAACGATATGAAACATCACCGACTCGTTTCCAGGTGCTGGGAGATGAATGAAAACCCGATCCCCAACAGACTGATCAACTGGCCCATCATGGCGTCCGTCATTGTGAGTTTCCTCCCAGTCTTCTTCTCTGTCATAACGACACTGCACAGTATTTATTTTTGAAATGCATGTAGCAGTATTTTTTAACCAAAACTTACATTTCCTGTCTCAAACTAAAACTATTTGTAATTGTTTTTGATCAGTGTTTGGAGGTTATGTGGTAGATTCCCAACAGCTGATTATTACAACTACAGTATGTACACTCAAAAAGAAAACCCCCCTGGGAACATTTCTTATTAGTGGAGTGTGTTATCTCAACATTTATAAACCGTCTAACGGCTGCAGAGATAAGTTTCAGATAAAGTTCAATCACTCAGCCGTTTATTTCAAAACACGTCGGCCCACAGGTGATCCATCAGAACAAGGTGTCGTCCTGAACTTTACTTCTCTGATTCCAGCAGCATGTTTTCTACTCGCTGCTCGGCTCATTGCGGACGATGTGTTCTGTGCAGTAGTTTAAATGCACGTGAATGTGTGTTTTGTGTAATTACTTAGATTTCTGTTTAGCAACGAGCTGCAACACTGTGGAAATCTCCTGTTAACGCGTCAGTTTGAGGCCTCAGTTCCTGTAACAGCCAGAAATGTTGCACTTTTTCTAAGTGGAATAAAGTTTTGTGAAAGCTGAAATCACCGTGCAGATTTTTGGTGATGTGTTTGGGGATAGTCTGTAATTCTTACTCTAATTTTCTGGAGTAGAAGAACATGGCTCTGACTTCCTGCTTTTGTGTTTTCTCCACTTTAAGATCAACTTTATTCTGTTCATCAGCATCATTCGTATCCTGGTGCAGAAACTTCGCTGCACGGACGTCGGAGGAAACGAGAAATCACAGTACAGGTAGACTGAGGAAGCGTGTTTGACCTCTGACCCTCAGATTTTTACACCTTATTTGAAGACTTTCCTCTGTGTGTGGTGAGGGTGTAACTCTGTCTGCTGGTTCTTGATCTGGCCCTGTGGGTGTGTTTTACCAGACGTCTGGCGAAGTCCACCCTCCTGCTGATCCCTCTGTTCGGGGTGAACTACGTGGTGTTCGTCTACCTGATGGAGCCGCCCGATAAAAACATGAATCGCATCAAGATCTTCTTCGATCTCGGCCTGGGATCCTTCCAGGTACCATATATATGACAGGTTTCTGTTCTGCAGATCATTACATCGTGTGCAAATGTATGTTTTTGTTTTTTATTAAATCTCTTCGTGTAAAACCTGAAGAGCTTCGGTCCGTCCTCTCCTACAGATAAAGTCTTTAGCAATGCGATTCTGTTTTTATTTGAACTCTGGAACATGAAACAGTGAAATCCATCAGTAACAGTTGTGTGTTGTGTGTTTCAGGGTCTAATTGTGGCTGTGTTGTACTGTTTCCTCAACAGCGAGGTTCGTCTCCACACACACACACACACACACACACACGTTTCTCCTGATAGAAACGCTGCACTACAGCTGACTCTGCTTTGCCTCGTGTGCGTACAGGTTCAGAGCGAGCTGAGGAGGACGTGGAGGAGTTTATCTCTCAAGCGTTACGTGGGGCGGGACTACAGGCTGCACGCCATGTCAATCAGCCGAAACGGCACCGAGAACTCTGCCCAGTTTCCCAGGAACTCCCGAGCCCAGTCCATCCTGCAGACTGAGACCACCATGCTGTGACGGTCTGGTTTTTGCAGAGACATTCAGAACTTCCGCTCGTACTCACAGCGACTCAGAACGCAGGAAGTCGTACTCAAAGACGCTTCTATAGACATATCACTTGCTGCTGCAGGGACTGAGCTGCAGAGGTTTCTGAGGTCAACAACCTCTTATCAGAGAGGACGCGCCTCCTGGACTTTTCTAATATCGCTCTTGAGTTCGTCTTCACGGTGGTCTTCAGTGTTTTTCGACTCACAGACATCCACACATGACGCAGAACCTGCTGGAATCAGGCAGAACAAAAACTTCCATCAATAAATAGTTTTTATTTCAGACTTTTATTTCAGATTGTTTTATATGATTAAATATTCTAACACATTCGGAGGTTGAGAATTAAGGTTTTCAGCCTAAAATGCAGTGCAACTACATCAGTTTTTATTCTTGCATATTCTCAGTGGTTATTAAATATTTTTCAGACACAGCTGAATGTATTGATAACGTGCTATTAATTCAGTTTAATAGTGTCCTGTAGTTTCATGCCAACAAACATTTTATAAAGTTACATTTAACCTTGGTGGATACCTCGTCTTCAAAGCAAAGAACATTTACCACAAAGATTAAAAACAAGCTAAATAAGAATTTATGTATTAGAAACATGTTGGTTAGGGTTAATGGTGGTGGTGGAGAATCACTGATTTTCCCTATTACTTTCTACAAAGATGAGTCTTTGAGATGAGATAACACCCATAACATTTACTTCCTACAGACAAACACAAGACGGGAACTGCACAGAACTTGTCCAGTCAAACTTAAAGTGTATTAAGCTAAAAGCCCTTCAAGGGTATGAACTTTCCCCTTTTTTGTCATTTAAGCAACTTGCTCTTGGAATCTCTCTGAAAGCAGCGCTGGGATTTGTAGGATGAGTGGACCACAGGAACTGTTTGGTTCTGCTTTCTGTAAGGTAGGAAGCAACCCAGGAGTCGACGATGGGTCCGGCCTGGATGGTGAGGTTGGTCCGTCCCTTGGTGGTTTCAGCGAGACGTGTCTCCTCCCGCCTGGAGAGAGAGCTGAAGGGCGGCAGAAAAGTCGGTTGGAGAAGGAGGTGTTCTTCAGTCCATCCGGACCATCTTCCCCCTGCACCATCCCGAGCCATCTCTTTTCCTTTTAATCATTTTTACCAGTGTAAACAGTTCAGAAGGGAAAAAATGCAAAGGTTTTAGAAAACCTGCAGCAGAAATATATGTTTTTTATTATTATTATTTTTATTTTTTAGCTTTCCTCTCCTGGTAATCATCTCACGGCCCCTCAGGTTTATCTTGCGACCCCTCACTGGGGTCTCGACCTCCATGTTGGCAACTGCTGTCTATGTGAGATGATAAAAAAGTAATTTCATGTGGGAGTTAAAGAAACGTACAGATTACTGTAGCTTGTGTGTTTATGTTATTTTTCATATAATTGGTGCCATATTCAGGGTTCAACCAATATGAGTCTCTGAAGCACAAAATATTTAAAATGTATTCTTGGATTTCAGTGTTTACCATTAGGATCTGAAACGGTTTTACACAAAAACTCTTCTAATCACGTTTATTGCTGCCTGTAAATGAAATAAGTCACTAAATAAAAAATGAAGTAATGAAAATAGCATGAGTCTCACCCTCATCAGTATTCTGGACAGTGAATATGTGCATCTATCCAAAGTGTCTGAGGCAGGGTTTCAGTTCTAATTACAGCCAAAAAAACAAGAAAAAAACACCTTGTACAGAAAGTGACTGTTTTGTATTTTGTATTATTTGTGTTTTTTTGTTGATGACTGAGCATCAGTGTCATTTGTAAGCTTTTGAACTGTAAACCTGTGACTCCATTTATTTTATGTATAAAAGCTTTTATTGTGAAGGCTGAGTCATGTCTGTTACTGTACATGCAGTATACATTGGATATTGTTTTGAATATGTATTTTGGGATTAATATTACTATTATTTAAGTTCTTTATTTTTTAGTTTCTCTGCCACAAACTAAAAAGAAAAGCACTGCTTCTAAACGTTGTATCTACAGACACTTCCCTGTTCTTATCTCATATTTGTGTTTCCATTGGCGAACAAGCAAACCCGTCTCTGCAGTGTGTGTGTTTATCTGCACTTGACATTTCACACTGGCCCATGCTGTGAGAGGTCAGAGGTCAATGAGGAAGAGAGCATGTTGTTCCACTGGTAAATGGAGGAAAACAAACTTGAGTGTGAAACCCATTTACTGGTGGGAGACTTTATTTTTCCTCCTGGGAGTGGGTGTATTTATTTTGGATTGTGAAGCATTTCAGCAGATTGCAGATGCAGATATATGCTTGCATGGTTTTCAATGGTTTTAGAGAGGTCACCCGTAAAGGTGAAACTCAGTCAGCAGAGCCAAAGAAAAGCAAGACTGATGCCTGGAAAACCTGAATGGCAAAGAAGAAAATTGGAAAGTTATCAATACAACTGGCAAGGTAAACACAGACCAATGACAACCCAGGGTTCACCTGGAATGTGGAATGAAGGGATCTCAGGTTGATCTATCAATCACAATGTCAGGTTACAATGACAAGTGAATATTTCAGGCTGGGTTTGTCAGGCTGTGCCTCCTCCTTTTTTACTCCTTTCCCTTTTCACATTAGCCTTATCATTTATATTTTTTAAAAAATGTTTTCTTTGGCTCTGCATGTTAAGGTCATACATTATAAATGATCTCCGCCACCAGACCAGCCATGCTCTTAAGAAATATTTGTATATAAACTCACTTTTCCTGCTGTCAGATGTATTATAAGTTAGTCTAGCCTGTGCTCACAGTTTGTCAGTAGGGCTTCGACCTTTTTTTTAGATATTAAGCAGAATATGGCTGAAAACTGAACACATGGTAGTAGTGGAAGAAGCGTTAATCTCAAGTAAAAGTAGCAGCACAGCAGTGTAGAAATACTCGGTTACAAGTAAAACTCATTCAAAATGGTATGCTTCATGTTTTGGCATGAAATATACTTATATACCCTCAACAGACATTTCCATTTTTGTGTATGAGCCAAATAAAAAGGTTAACTGGACTAAATTTATTAGTTGGTTTCATCATAATATAATATGATATAATATAATATAATATAATATAATATAATATAAAATAATATAATATTATATACGTAGGAGAAAGTCCCGCCTACAAGGTATCTAATTGGACAAGCCCGAACCAATGTCTGACGTCTGTGCGGTTCCTCTAACCAATCAGCACGAGACATTCTGACTCACTGGATTAAGGTGTAACTTCAACGGTAGCACCGAAACTTCGTACAGCGACTGTGGTAAGAAAATAATGTGTTTAATACGAATGTCGCGCGCATTTAAGTCCATTAAACGTCAGCCAATAGTAACGTTAACATACCCAATATTATCCTGAGTTACCTTAAGACCGTTTACGTAAAAAATGTACGAATAACGTTAGTGTTCAAAACGTTAGCAAAGTGCTAGCTAACGCGGCTAAAAACATTAGCTTGTTATAAGGAACGCTGAGGCGGTTTGTCGACATGAGAAGTTGAGTAATCTATGAAAGTACTGCATATACTTATATATATATATACTAGTGATTTAAGTCATGGCAACAGGTGTTAAAGGTTCCCCAGAGGTTTTAAATCAATTTATATATATTTTTTTTATGTTGTTTTTATGTGGTAGCTAATATTATTAGTACAACAGCTATTCCCCTTGTCACAAAATCGATGTTTTTCATGTCATCATGTAGAATTACCTCATCTAAGACTAAGATTTGCTTGGTCAGATGTAAAGAATATCACAGTCTCAACAGGCACTTGCTCTGTCCATACATGTGTGCACTTGTAGGGCAGTAAAAATCCATTGTATGCAGCCAGTTCAGTGTGTCGTTTCGATGGTTTCAGACATGGGAGTATTGTTTTGAGCATTTAGTTGTAAGTTGTGCACCTGTGCACAAGGTGCTGCTGCTGCTCTGCTCTCTCTGTTTTGAGGAAGCCCCCATGTCTGTTTAGGTTACAGCCAAATCTAAGCTCTTTAGTGTCCCCTTTTTTGAAGAAGTGAGGGCTGGGAAAAATTGTCTTCACTTTGTAGTGTCCTTGCTTTGATGGGCTAAAAATCAATTTAAGACACACGAATTAGAGCACAGTCCCTCACACTCAGAATCATCCACCCACCAGATACAAAATAAAAAGACAGCCGTCCTCCTGTGCCCTTCTTCTCTCCTTCACCTCCATGTTTTCAATTAGCCTCCTGAGAGCACACAGTCTGCTTTTCCATCCACCCCACTGACTCCTCCTTCCTACACTCCTCTTTCAAACTGTGCGTTCTCTCACTTTTCCTTCTCTGGTGTCAGTTCACCTCCCTTTTGACATCCCTTGGATCTCGCCTGCAGATGAGACACAGTTTGCTTCATATTCTCAGTCCTACTGAGTGTCTAATAAGCAGCGACGCAAGAGATTGAACTTGTGACTTTTTTTGTATAGTGGTGGGAGAGGATTAGAGTAACACAATCGAGATTAACTTGGCTAAAATTTGCCTAAGACTTATAGAGTTCACATTTCCTTATTTCAAAGTTTAATTCAGTTGTTTTCTGATTCTCAAGTCTCTAAAATGTTTTTTTGGTAAAGAGGGAAGTCTAGGTTTCAGCAGCAAGGAATCGCAGTGCGTCACATGTCCTGTCCAGCTCTGTGTCACTGAAAAAAAACAACTTTGAATTCTGAAAAGTTCATATTAAAACACCCTGTGGTGTGTGTGAACAAGTATATCTATATAGTTGGGAAGCAGCTTGAAGTCTACCATGGAATTTTTCCTGAATTTTGAATTATGATTATTGACAAGAATTTTAGACACTAAGCAGGAAGAATATGGAGGCCTGCAGTTAACTGGCTGCCTTCAACCAACAAACACTGTTTTATTGGTATACTGATTTGATTTAAAAACTGAAGAAGAGTTTTAACTGGAGTTTGAGAAACATTCAGAGAAGAAAATCTCACATAAAGAATAGTTTTAATTTATATTTTCCTGAGAGGGAGAAGGAAATCCATTACAGACAAACCACCAGTGTTGCTTTTCACTGTTGCTTCATACCAGAAACTGCCACTAGGTGACACTAATATCCAGTTGAAAATTCGAGTTTAAACACATTGCCAGTGTCAGTGCATTCCCATCTCCTCTGGCAAGCTCAGTACCAATATTCAAGTTGTTCTGCAGTTGAATTGACAGTTGTCAAAGAGGGTTCCCTAAAACTTAATTTAATGTTCTGTTCCATAGAAATTAAATAACTTTATCACACTTAATTTAGTCTGCAGTGGGTTTTCATTCTCAGCTGACACCCACAGGAAGACCTTTACAAACTCCACTGTCACATCAATTGTTCCATCTTTATTCAGTGTGACACAGAATTAATTTCAAAAGTTAGTCATTAGAAATTAAAATAACTTCAGTAAATAACCAAGAAACATGCATTTATTAGTTGATAATACACTTTATGCACATACACACATATATACTGTATATGTTTTAGCTCACTTAACAAAGGCATGTGACTGTATGGGGATTGTTACTGTAGAAAATATGATTGAATATACAGTGTGTGGATGTGTGTGTGTCTGCAGAGTGTGTGTGTGTGTGTGGAGGTCCTTGAACAGCAGCAGGAGAATATATTGCTCAGACAGGTGGTGGTGCTTCACAGGACTAGAGGGCAGAGACAGAGAGAGACAGATCAGTGCTTCTGTGAACACACCACATTCTCAAAAACAAAATCATCGCCTAAATTTAAATGAACAAGTAATTTGTAATTAATTTGTTTATTACATTAGACATGCAAAAGCCCAACCTGGACAGGAGTCGAGAATTAGCAATACCTATGAACTCTTTGTGTGACGCATTAGTTTCACCCTGTTTTGAAACTATGTTAGATTTCATCGTCCCAATCAAATAAATAAATTAACTAAAAAGAAAACTAAACTAGATTGTCATTATTTGAATGCTTCCCTTGTTGCTTTATCCTAAACTATGTCGTACAGTCGACATGGTTCGGTGCCTCCGAGGCTTCACTTGAGCGGCGAGCTGACGTCAGATCTTTCTTGTGGTGAGGTTACTTTTAAGGTAGTATTTTCAAAAGCAGCGTTTTGGTGTCTGTATGTCTCACTAGTTTCCTCTGTTTTCGCGTTAACAAAGAAAACAGTAACGAGACCAACAGGGCAGAAACACTGCTGCAGTTTACCGTGTAAATTTTAATTTTTTTTTATAGAAGGACTATTTATTGATTTGTGTCCAGTGACAGCCCTCATGTCTGTGTGAGTGTTTGTGCCTGTTATTATGAGTAACTCACAGTCCTTGGTCCATGCAGCCTTAGGGTCAACACAGACTTTTCCCTTGTCTGTGCGGAAACTAGAAGAAAAAAGAAACGGTGATGAAAATGTGAAAATGATTATTATTGTGTGTGTGTGTGTGTGTGTGTGTGTGTGTGTGTGTGTGTGTGTGTGTGTGTGTGTGTGTGTGTGTGTGTGTGTAAGTATTCAAGAGACTATGTTTACACTTACATCAACGCCTTCACACATGGTCCGTGGGCGTGTTGAATGGTGGGCTCCCCAGTTACATCTGCACTGAGATCAGTAGAGGAGACCTCAGTGCAGCACAGAGGGACTCGTCTTCGGTTTGGGAACCTCGACCCTGAGAGAGAGAGAGAGAGAGAGAGAGAGAGACAAACAGAGGGGGGAAGTTTGAATACAGGAAGTGTAAGCATTGTGGCATTAGACCAGCATCAGGAGCTCAGATTGGCCAGCTGTGCTGCAGGAACGAGGCCTCCTCAGCTGTCACCAGTCAGAGGTCCTGCTGCTGCTCTCTGG